TAGATTAGCTGTTATAATCCCCTAAAATAATGAATCCATGTCAGAAAAAAACAGTAAGCAATGCAAAGGTTAAATAATTTGATATGAGGATAATCACTTCTTCCTGTTTTTTCTGATGGCATCTAATTTAATTTTAGTAAGAACATAAGAACATTTTGAGTGTGTCAAGAAATGTATATAAACCAGGCAACAACTGTTTACAAAAAGTTTTATGATAAAGACTACTTAAATAACACTGGTAGAAACTGAATATCACTGGGGCTTACTTGCTGTTTAGTGGAAATACAGTATTTTCTTTTTCTCCTGAATTTTTAATTTTAAAGTCTTTAGAATTGCTTGAAATTGCATTTAGATAGTAAAAATACGTCCATTGGCATGCAATAGATAATTATACCCAGGATGGTATATCTGCCAGTATTCAAAAACTGGAATACTTACTAAGCCTAATAGTCTTAGATCACTGACTAACCTTCCCTGTGGTAGACAAACTGTAAGAGGAAAAAGAAACAGCACATTTTCCTCTGTGTTTCTGGCCGTTACTTCTGTTGAATAGGTGGCTTCATCATTCTCTTACTCTGTTTGTAATTCTAGGACAATTGCCAATGACACATTCTCACAACTATTCAAAGGCATCATTCAAGACTTGTTTACACAAAAATTGCCAGAGAAAATATTCACCTGAAACACAGTTCCCTTTTCTCTGTGGTCAGTGCTACCCATCAGAAGTGCTAAGAATTTTTATTATTTTTTTCTGTAGCAATTAATAGGAAATTGCCACCATCCATCATTTTTAATACAACTGATATTCATATCCACTAGGGAAATATATGAAAGACAAATACCCAACTTGCTTAAGGTTGATCTCAAGGTCAGTCAAAATGATCCACAGGAAACATTTACAGGCAGCTGAAATTGCTTATAATTTGTCAGTAATCTTTTGGAGCAGTCTATTTTAGATAAGTTGTGTCTTGATAATTTGGAGTGGCCAACATGAGTTTTGATTCAAAGAGACAGGCTTTGAGTAGGTTAAATGAAAGAGAACGCATTTATGTAATCTTAAGCCTTCCAAGGCAGAGAGATCAGTGGTAGACATCTCCCAGTGGTGCTCTCTTATGCTGTGTGGGTTGATGCACTATTTTGATTTAATACCAGATTATAGAGCCATAACCTTGTATTTCTTTTTTGTTTACTGAAAAAAAAAAAAAGTACAGTGTTTAGAAAAAAAATGTTGCTTTTTTATGTTTAAAGAAGACCTGTCAATAGAGCATATCTGAAACAAATGTATTTCAGAAGCACAGAAAACCTTTAAATGGGGTGTTCAACTGTTTTTAATAAACATATTGGAAATGTCACTGTTTTTCCCATATGAGATGATGACCCATCACTGTAGAAGTTTTGCATACATGAAATAAGACACTAAGTAAAACACAGCCATTGTATAACTATAGCAGGAAAACACATTGAAAATTCAGGAACATAAACTCCTGGTAGAAAAATAAATATGTATTTTTTGTTGTGCTCCAGAGAGGAGCGATTTATGGATCAAATCACCAAGGGAGTCAAAAGAACAGTCAGAGCAAGTATTAATATAGTGGAGCAGTCATCCAGTGTTAAGATTAAAGGAAGAGAACTAGAGGGCATTTTCATATTTTTTAATGTTAACATTCGTCAGCTATAAAGAAGGATAATATCAGATACAGTCAAATAGATTCTATGATTTTGGACACTACACCCTCAGCACTCAGAATTAACCTTTCAAAATTCAGTCCTTTGGGGATTTTTTTCTCCCACATGTTTTCTTTCACTTTTATCTTTAAATGAAAATACACCATGCCTAAATATTAGAATAGTGGGTGCTTCCAAGCAGACATAGATTCATACATAGGGGCAGTTATAAATGAAGAGGAGCCTTTTTTTTTTTTTTTTCCCAGAGAAATTCCTGGGAAAAAAAAAAAAAAAAGTTCCAGAATTCATTCATATTCTTTTGCATAAAAGAGGCTGCATATGTTAAAAGAAATTCATCCCAGTGCAATTTTCTTATGGATACTTTACAGTCTTCAACAGAGTTGCTTCAATGTGAAGAAGATAAAAAGAATGTGCTAAATTGTTTTATAATCTCAACAGTATTTGTTGTTCATTTTGCTTAACATTCCAATTCATTTTCATACAATTTTTAAAGCAACACAGACTCCTATCAAAAATGTTAACTTCCAAGAAAAATTGTGTTCCTTTTATTGCCCTAATAGTTGTCCTCTGCACCTTTCATAGAATCATAGAATCATTAAGGTTGGAAAAGAGCTTCAAGATCATCTGGTCCAACCATCACCCTACTACCAATGTCACCCACTAAACCATGTCCCTAAGCACCACAACCAACCTTTTCTTAAACACCCCCAGGGACAGTACCACTACCACTTCCCTGGGCAATTCATTCCAATGCCTGACTACCATTTCTAAGAAGAAATTTCTCCTAATTTCTAACCCAAACCTCCCCTGGTGCAAGTTGAGACGATGCCCTCTAGTCCTATCACTAGCTATCTGTGAGAAGAGACTGATCCTTTTCAGGTAATTGTAGAGAGTAATAAGGTCCCCGCTGAACCTCCTCCAGACTAAACAACCCCAGTTCCCTCAGCCGCTCCCCATAGGACTTGTGTTCCAGGTCCTTGACCAACTTCCTAGCCCTTCTCTGGACACACTCCATGGCCTTGTTGTCCTTCTTCCAGTGAGGGGCCCAAAGCTCAACACTGTACTCAAGGTGCAGCCTCACCAGAGCAGAGTACAGGGGGACGATCACCTCCCTGGTCCTGCTGGCTACACAATTTCTGATGAAGCCAGGATGCCATTGGCCTTCCTGGCCACCTGGGCACACTTCCAGCTCATGTTCAGTCGAACATCAATCAGTACCCCCATATGTTTTTTCTCTGCACAGCTTTTGAGCCACTCTGCCCCAAGCCTGTAGCACTGCTTGGAGTTGTTGTGACGAAAGTGCAGGACCCAGCTCTTAGCTATGTTGGACCTCTTCCCACTGGCCTCTGCCCATTGATCCAACATGTCCAGGTCCCTCTGCAGGGCCTTCCTATTTATCAACTTTTCTGGGAAACTTAAGATCAAATTTAGAGTGGAATGGAATGGAATGGAATGGAATGGAATGGAATGGAATGGAATGGAATGGAAAAGTTCAGTTAAAAGGAACATAAAAAGATCATTGAGACCAACTGCCTGACCACTTCTGGGCTAAACAAAAGTATTATATGCTAGACCTGGTGCCATCAGTGCCTTCACTGACAGTTTTGTTTGTTTGTTTTCCCACTGGAAATAGTTTCAGTACTGAATTTTATGATTGCATTTGTTCTATTTATTTGATTTGTTCATTTATGTCATGTTATTTTGGCAACTGAGGAACATCCAATGGCAGAGTAAATCATCCATTCCTTCCAGCAGCCATTTCCACATGTTGGTTCCCAGTTCCTAGTGGCTGAAGTCTTTAAGTCCACAAGGTTCCACTTCATATTAAAGAGTTTTATCCCATTGCTTTCATTCAAATACTGGAGATGCTCCAGTTCTTTCTAACTCTTCCCTTTACCAGTAGCAGATTTCACCAGCCACCTCTTATTCACCATGCTAAAGTCACCACTGAAATTTTTTATAACATTGCTCCTAGCAATGACTAGGAGGGACTTCCATCAATAATTTTCTTCTGGCCAAAGTTTTCTTTTCAACAGCAGTCTGCTTTCATCCTTCCTATAGCTAGCTCTTTAGCTGTTCAATGATCTTTCTACTCTATCTACTGCAATGTAAATAATAATTTCCTATATTTTACTACATCAGATACTTTACTGCATAGATACTTTCCTGTTTCCTATTGAAAAACTCTGCCATCTAAAAAGAGAAAGATGACAGTTTAGTCTGACACAATATATCTTTGGTAAATTTGTATTTCATTGTAAGTTCATCACTATTTATTACTATGGTCTTAAACAACTCTCTTCTTCAAAACTTATTTCTACAGTTGGAATAAAGTAATGTTGAGCTGAGAAGTGTGTGTTAAGCTGGTCATTTTCATTTCACTTTTAAGTACTAAATGTGTTTTTTTATTTTCTGATTGCAGAAAACATGATCTACACATATGGATAAATAATGTAATTATTAAAATATTTTTTTTTCTTTTATATTTTGCAATTAAGAAGTTAGGTTTATAAAGATTAAGTTGATCATTGTCTCACAAGTGTAACTGAAATTGCTTCAAAGTGGATGTTGGCAGCTTTAATAGCTACTTGTATGTTCCAGTGAAAATGTAAGTAGTACTTAAATGATATATAAACTTTCCCCCATTGACTGTATGCTTACATTTTCTTGCTACTGAAATATTTGGCATGGATATTAACATATGTCCCTTCAACCTACTTACTAGTATGTGTTTATGTGTTTTTTATTTTATTTTATTTATTTATTTATTATGTATTGCTACTGACGTTTTAAAATCAGTGTTATTTAGATGTTAAATAACACTTCTATTATTAATGCTTATACTCCATTACTGTTAAATATTTGTTGATCAACTGTTTCAAAGTATGATACCATGTCTTAGTCCACTAATAGCAAAATTGCCTTTCCCACGGAGGGCTGCAACAAAGCCTACACATTACTGAGGTACTACTTGTTAGGAGTTACCAGATCTGGCAGCCTAGCACAGGTGAGGCCACTGCATCTGCATGCCCACAAGTCCAACCAACAACATGGCTGGGCACGTGTAGTAGGTGCGCACACACACACATATATGGACACTGCATATGTCCAAATCAACATGACCAGCCACACAGATAAACACTGGTAGACTCACAGGGTACTCACACAAGCACACACAGCACCTTGGCTGAGCAGAATGAAGGTCCATGAGTGGCAAATATTTGTGTTTACATATATTTATATACATATATGAACATACATATGTGTATGCATATATGTCTATATATATATACACATATGTACAGTGTGAATACCTCCAGTCTTCCCAGCAGCTGCCCCAGGATCCCAGTATCTCCAGTTGCTGACACTTGGGTATGCAAGCACCAGGGTCTGAAGTCCTGCTCCAGCTGTTGGTTCAGACCCTGTCATAAATCCCTAGTCCTGCTTGACACCTGCTATCAATCACTCCCTGGCCTAGAAACGTTCACCTTTTCCAGTTGCTGGCAACATGGACATGTGAGCCCACATGACCCAAGGTCCCAGCCAAGTTAATGACACTTTTGTCCACTCATTCTGGTCCCTCCCTTTGCTTGTATTATGGTCCCTCCCCTTGCTCCCTTTGCTGGTACACAGATCCTTCAATCTGTGGTCTGACTGTTTGCTGGCACTCATGACTCCATGCACACACATGCACACAGAGAATCCCTCACTTGCGAAAGTACTTAGAAATAGAGTTAAATGTCAGTGTACTGACCAGGAACCTGTTCACACAGAACCAGGCCCCTTTTATCCCTTTATTCCTCATTTCCCATACTTGTTTTTGCCCCAAACTATCTAGATCCCTCCCTTTCCCTACCTTTAGTTCCTTCCCTAGACAGGCCATAGTACCTCTTTTGCAATCCCGAACTGCCCTTTTCCTGCATCCCATAATGACTCCTTTATCCCTTGGTAGCAATTGCCTTGGGCAGTAAGATGTTCCAAAGATCTGCTCGCTTTGACTCATCATGATGAGGACTATCCCCAGCCCACAGTCTGATCGATCTCTGTGATAAAGCTATTTAGTGCTGCTCCCCAGCTGAGGTGAATTTTCATCTGAGCATGTGAGACTATATTCACCTTTATTATTTTAACTTACTGTTAGGAATAAAAGGACAATGTTTCGAAGTATGTGATAATTTTAGGTGCAGACAAAAGTTTCTCTTTACCTCCTCACATTCAGATCATGAAAACAGCCATGAGTAACTGATCACTGAAGCTGTAAAAGATCAGCACAAACTGGAAATGTCTGAGTAAATCATAAATCTGAGGATTCCCTCCTTTCCAAGCATAAAGAGACCCGATAACCTGCTTTGATAACCTGTGCCCTTGCTTGCTCTGTTCCCCTTCAGAACTCCTCCTTTGCCATGCTCGTCCATATTTTCTATTTTAACAGAAAACCATGTTATTTCCACTACAAAGACCAGCAAAGCAGATCTAAGTTCCTGGCTTAAAGAAAGAAGTGTTGCCATCTGAATTGACCATTTCTGTAGCTTCAAGAAGCATCTTAGGAGTAGTTCTGTATCTAGGACAAAGCCACGTGAGCTCAACTTACATATTAACTTGCCGGATTTCCAGCCGACTCTTGTGCCCAGTTCCTCTGATAAGTTTGCACTGAGTTATATACAGTTAGTCCTACATACTTTAATAGAGACTGAGTTGAATTATTACTTATGGCAAGACGAGGGCTGAGTAAAAGGATGAACAACAGGTGAACAAATCAGGAGGGAGGGAGAGAGATTCAAAAGACTTTGAAAAAGCTCTGGAAATCTGACAAGACAAGAAAGACATCAGCCATTTTTTTAACCTACTTTTACATTTTATTTCATTCCATTTCAACTAGGAATTCTATTCCTTGGCAGAACAATTGGACAAAAGTAGGTCTGCCTATGTCTCCAGTGGTGTTATAGTGAGTTATTGCACATCTGATTCTAACTTGAATAAAGCTCAATGAAGTGCTAAATAAATCAATGGTTTCTAGTTCTTCCTAATAATATTGTCATGGAATCATTTTGTAATTACAAGGCTTCAGCCAAGCCTGTCTGATCAAATGGCAATTTTTCTGGGTAATGCAGCCAGCCATCAATGTTTAGTCTGATCTACAGCAATATACAAAAGTTGTGAGAGAACCTTAGCAAAACTCACCTTGTAGGGTTTTACTGGAAAAAAAGGAAAAGAGAGGTGGAGGTTTGGTTTAATAATTTCCTGCTGAGATTTCTATGGAGGAGATTGCCAAGGTAAGAGATAGTGTACTCCTAACATTTATCAACCATCTGAACTTAGACAGTGATCAGTGGGCTCCTCTTTTCATCACTACCACCATTGCCAAATAGAATGGTCAGAAACATACAGATACTCCTGGCTAATTTTGAAGCCAGAATTCTGAAATTAGAAGGAAACTTCTCAAAAATGAGACAAAAGAAGATGTCTCCTGAAGATGTTTCAGGGTTTCACTTTGACCACAATTTCTAATGTAAAGGGTATGTAACCATAGTCATGTGATGAGAGGGCATGCATATGAGATACAGACATTAAACAAGAGCAAAGGAGCATAACACTTGGCTTCAGATTAAATTGTCATAGGTGGGACACTAGAGATTCGTTTTGATATTTACAGGCAAGGGATGGTACCACTAACCTGAAAATTGCATGCTTTAGTCTGTAGATCTGTGCTGGCAGTCAGTGTCCAAGGGACCAAGCCCAACAATTTTGCCTCCTTGCAAATCTATGTTTGCCTTCACAGACTGCATTACTACCTGACAGAGTCCAAAAACAGACTGAAAGGAAGCAACATCTCAAAATGCCACAATGAGGTACTGGGTAAACCTTTCCTTCCAAAATGGTGCTAGCTAGTCAGAGATAATATAAAAAATCATAATTAATGTCTATGATAACCTTGAACATACATGTATTTTAATGTTAAGAATATTCAGCCAATAACATCCAATAATCTAATAATTTTGGTAGATCAGATACTTAACTTAAATACAGTTATGAATACTTAAATAACTTAACTTAAATACAGTTATGAAAAGTTTTTAAATAAATACCACACTGACTATATTATATGAAAACATAATAACCACATAAAGCCTACAAAATAAATAAATAAATAAATGTAGGTATTTTCTGATATGTAGATATGTTCTGATTTTTTTCCATTTACAAGAACCTCTTCGAGTAGATGAAACTACTGGTCTGTTGAGTATCAGCTAAGAAAAAAAAAAAAAAAAGATTTTCTTAAAAACTCACAATTATTTGATAGCAGTAAAATAGAAGCTACATGTGTACAGCAGGACAGGACTACATTATTGCTGGAGTGCCAGTAGAGGTAAAGAATTAAACTACTAACTTTACTTAATTGTTTGTCTTTAAATGAAAAGCCTAAAATAACAGATATCAGCAGGAAAATTGTCAGATCAAACTGAGAAAAAGCAAATCCAAACCGGTTTTGTCAGGTGACACTTATCACACTTGAATTATTTGCTCTCATAATATATTGTCTTCTTTCCTAGCCTCCTTGATGTGACTTCTGAATATTTGCTGTAGGTCTGAGACATTTCAATTGCTATGTATATAAACTAAACATAGAGATGGAATAGATACCAAGATCTATCCATTGACTTATAGATATAAATGTCGAGTAGTGTTGTCTCATGATCCTGAAAGACCATGTAAAAGCATTACTGAAGACATGCTTAGATATAGATTACAAGGAGGAAGTGTAGATACATAGTACTACTCAAAAAAGAAAGAAAATACATTGACTACCATGTGAATCTTGGTATTTTCATGTAGTGCAGTGGAGTCCAGATCCACACATTTCACCTTTTGTTGTTGTTTAACCCAAGCAGGCAGCCCAGTGCCATACAGCCACTTGTTCACTTTCCCCAGGTAAGATGGGGGAGAGAATCAGAGAGGTAAAAGTCTGAGAACTCATGGGTTGAAATAAGGACAGTTCACTAGGTAACTCAAAAGCCACACATGCAAGCAAAGCAAAGCAAGGCATCTATTTGCTGCTTTCCATCAGCGGGCAGGTGTTGAGCCGCTTCCAGAAGGTCAGGGATCATCACATGTAATGGTTTCTTGGGAAGAGAAACACCATCACTCCCCATGTCCCTTCCTTCCTCCTTCTTTACCCCAGCTTTTATTGCTGATTTTTTTTTAATTGGTTGGAAACAGAGGTGCTGAGGTACTAACAGGCCAACTCCTGTTCTTACCCATGCCATCAGAGTGGTTCCAAAGAGTATTTATCAATACGGTGATAATGATGATTAATATGACAATGATGGTGAATATGATGATGCTTTATATATATAAATACATATATATGGTATGTGACGTCCCTTTGTTCAGCGTAGGCCAGCTGTCCTTGCTGTGTCCCCTCCCAGCTCCTGGTGCAGCCCCAGCCTCCTCACTGGCAGGACAGCACAAGGAGCTGGAAAGGCCTTGGCTCTGTCTAGGCACTGCTCTGCAACAACTGAAATATAAATCTGTTATCAACATTGTTTTCCTCAAAATTCCAAAGTACAACATTACATGAGACTCCATGACGGAAGTTAACTTAATCTCAGCCAAAACCATGACACATTTGCAAAGCTGAAACTATGTAAGATAAAATATTAAAGTATTGAAAACGTTCTGAGACATGAGGACCAAGAGCAGTTTTTGTAGACCTTCACAGTGCCTCCTTCTTTGCCCAATTTAACTCTGTTAAGCCATGTCTTCTTATAATCAGGTCAGCAGTACTGCATCTGAATTTGAATGACAAAATTACAAGAAAACCCATTCATAACCCAGTATATAAAATGATTAGGTGAGATAAATTTGGCTTATTTTCAGACTGCCTTTATACTTAAATTGTCTTTCTAAGCCATTCAGATGGAACTGTCTTTCGTCATGAAAACTTGCTTTTAAACCTTCATGTAAATATTTTGTACATCAATATGGTAACCAGCTACAACCACGTATTTCTGAAAATCCAAAACATCTCAAAGACATCTTGTATTTCCTGGTGATCAGTTGTTAAGATTTGGATTTGACTTTGACTTCAGTGTTAGTGTACTTGTTCACATTTTTACATATTTTACTGGATTTGGTCATTTTTATGTAACATCAGGCAAGTATCTCAGCTTCTCAATGAATCAGGGTTTTGATGTAAAATGAGATTAAAAATGATTTTCCATCTCTCAAGAGGCTTGAAAAAATAGTCACTCAACACATACAAAAGCTCAGTAGTATTAATGAAAGTTGAAATGAAACACTGACACAAGAGAAAATTAAGGTAAAACTTCCCTTCTGTATTTCTCTAATGCTGTTTTGCTGAATAGGGAATATATTATTGGAATTAAAGTAAATAACATTGCAAAGTTGAGAGAGACACTGCACCATGAATTAGGATTATTAATTTTCCAGTTATACTTTCAACTTCTCATCTGTGCACAAAAAAAACAC